GCAGGCACACGTATGAAGGCCGGTTCGTGCGGTCAGCAGCGTATGCGTATAAAATGATTTCTGCGTAAGGAAGTTGCTGTGTCGGGATCCACTTATGGCCAGTCCTTGTGTGCGCTTGTAGATCCTTGAGCCGATCTCCTTTCAGCCATGCAAGGTCTGACACCGTACTAAGATGAGTCGATATCGTACGCTCTTTGTCTGGTTGGTCTGGTGGTCATGATATTTGTTGGCAATTGCCAAGGGAGGGTTCGACCAAGAAGGCGCTGTATTTAATGACCATCTTCGCATTTGGTCAAGGTTTTCTTGTTCCGGATTGGCATTAAAATTGGGCCAATCCCAGGTGGTTTCCCCTCTTCTGAGGCCTTGGATGCCGTAGGCAATCGTTGCAATTACCTGAGCCATGCCCATGGGTCCCATCATGTCGAGCGGGGAGACCAGCAGAGTCAAAGATTTCGAACGGGTGAGCCCTACCGTGATGCGGCCCAAGCAATCTTCGGTGTCTTCCGTGGGGGAGCCGTTTGGGTAGAACCTTGTGTTGAGGAAACCTGTACTTGGCTGAGCGACTATTGCAACTTGTGCCGTACCTCCTGCTGAGTGTGCAATGGTTTCAACTCTCAGCGTGCGGGCATAGTTCTTCTTAAGGGCGGAGCTATTTAGGTTGTTCTTGTGGTCAGTGGCTGTGGTCATGACAAATAGCCCGTCATACAACGTGGGGGGTACATCAGTGCTTGAGGATGGCCTTCTTGCGAGATGGATGATGTTCTCTAGCTTCCTCGACATCTTTTCTCACCCTAGATCCTTCTATGATGGTCTCTAGCTTCCTCGACATCTTTTCTCACCCTAGATCCTTCTCACCGCTGTCTCACCACTTCATGCTACATGGCGTTGTCGTTGCTAGCATCGAAGTGTTTTATGATTGTGAGTTGTTATGCCTTGATGGCTTCCTCTATGTGATCTCGGGGATCCTGGCTGGGGCGATCCCTGGTTTCCGCATAGTGCTGTGTTGCTTCACTCACTCGACGATGTGATTTTTGTGGTTCTGTGTTCTCTTTTTTTCTTGGTTCTGCCATACCAATACCTGAGTTGACACAATGCTATCACCTCACCCTCATCATTAGTCTCTGAACTGGACCGCCGATCACTTTCCACTTTGATTTTTTTGGTGTGTGTTTTTGGTTTGTTTGGTTGTGTTTGTTTTTTGTTTGTTGCTTTTGGTGTGGTTTGGCTGTCTGCTGTTTTCTGCAATGGAATCGTGACGGCGGCTGGACTATGCACAGGTCACACCAGTTCGCTTTTGTGGCCCACCCCATTTGCATGCATTAATTAGCTAATTTGCCGGTTCTGTTGCAACTGGACGTGGTAAACGACCTGGCGAAAGCCAAGAGGCGTTGGACGGAAAAACTAGACGACGGATGGCCCGAGAGCGTAGCGGAGCAGGGTCTTCTCTTGTTAGTATGGAGACGCAATTTTAGAAACGATATATGAAAGATGTGTTATAGGCAGTAGAGAAGAGTAGCAAGACAGGATAGTGAGAAGTACAAGACAATAGTTTGCATCGCAAACACTTTTACACACAGACACTTTTACACACAAAAGCTTTCACACACAGAAGCTTTTACACACAGTAGCTTTTACACAGACGCTTTTACACACAGACGCTTTTACACAGAAAGGCTTTTACACACAGAAGCTTTTACACACAGACGCTTTTACATACAGACGCTTTTACACACAGACGCTTTTACACACAAAGGCTTTTACACACAGAAGCTTTTACACACAGACGCTTTTACATACAGACGCTTTTACACAGACACTTTTACACACAGACACGTTTACACACAGACACTTTTACACACAAACGCTTTTACACGCACAGAAACTTTTACACACAGACGCTTTTACACACAGACCCTTTTACACACAGACGCTTTTTACACACGGGCGCTTTTACACACGGACGCTTTTACACACAGAGGCTTTTACACACACAGACGCTTTTACACACAGACACTTTTACACACGGGGGGAACCGGGGTTACTGGCACTGCAGGCCAAAGGTTATCATAGATTCAATTGGGAGGAAGTGACAATAGATGTACCATGGCTGATGGCAAGGCCATGGCACACCATCACCTCCATTGAAAGTCATAAGACCTGAGGAGGAGCCTGGACACGTATACCTTATATCGTGCGTGCATGTGTCGATGGGGTGGCGTGGTGAAGTCCCATTTCCATGTGAACCGGAAAAGAAAGGAAATGATCTTACTCGAAACCAGCATGTATAAACATGTCATGAGGGCTATGTGCTTTGGGCCCCCCCAACCAAGGTGGTTTGCCATCTCCCCAAAAAGAAGTATAAACGGGCGGACCTGGCAGGCGGCGAACGTTTCTGGGCTGGAGAAGCACAGTATTACAATATGATATAATGGGATGGCCCTTGTGCTCGTTTCCGTGTGGTTTTTGGGTTTAGGGTCCATGTGACTGGAATTGAAACTCTTATTTTAACACTCATACATCCATCTCTATATATTAACATTCATACATCCATCTCTATTTCATATTGCTATTCCTATCTCAATATATAATACATCGATTTGTCTCTTCGTGGTAGCAGCCTGCCTATCCATGTAATCCATCCCATCCCAGGGCTCTGACTACATGCAAACCTAGCTGCACAGACCAACAACTATATGCGCAAAAGGAATCGGCAGCTTTATTCATCTTCGATAGAGTCTCAGCCCGTTCTGCTTGACTCACGCGGATGCACTATGGTGAGACAGGGTGCGCTATGGTGAAACTGAATGTCTCAATCAAAGATGCGTGCATCAGCGAGTCTCAGACAATTCTGGTTGACTCATGCTGATGCACTTCATTTTCAAATTCAATTGACATCAGTGGCTACCGCGGTTGATCTTTATCTGGGCACCTCCACGGACACGACCTCAGGTCCAGCATCTCTGTGAACGCAATAAGATCTTCCACATTGCATCACAAGTGGTGTTGAAGATATCCCGACTACTGCCGATTGGGATCTCAGTCTCGACGAACGTAAAACTATGCCTTTCATTAAAAGAGTCAATTAACGACCTTTCAAGTCCTCTGCTCCATTCATCCGCGCGCCTGTAATCACGGTCACATAGCTGACACCATCAGAGGACATAGGACATTCCTTGAAAAGACATAGGTCGCATTATGCAAAGAGGTTTGAGTGGAAGGGCAAAAAATAGAAGGGTAAAATCCAACTACCATGCTATATAATATGAACAGGTACTACCACTCAACAGGTAATCCATCCCATCCCAGGGCCCTGACTCGATGCAAACCTAGCTGCACAGACCAACAATGCGGACCTGCAAAGCATTCAAGGACTATGGCTAATGACTGCGACAGATCACATTCATTGATGTTCCGGCACAACTATATGCGCAAAAGGAACTGACAACTTTATTGATCTTCGATGGAGTCCTTGCTGAACATGCTCAGAAATTGCTGAAACTGAACATGCTCAGAAATTGCTTCAGAAATGCTTGTGTCCAACTTGCAAAAAAAAAACAACCTCAAGTTCCTAGCAAAGCGACGGTTCGGTCCTTCACCGAATTCAATGATGTTGTACCAGTCCAGACCCTGGCATCCAATGAACAACGGCTAAGTGCACATACAACCAAAGACCCAGTGGAACTAGTGAATTTGGAATTTGCTACACATCGACATATTGAAACAGAGTCTACACGTCTGATTGCTGCCATTCACATGCAAATATCAGCGTTTGAAATTGTCAAAGCAAATTATAGTCACTTCACAACAACCGCTTACAAAAACAAATGGCCAACCAGTCACATCCAACGTCGACCTCGCAGTTCTGCACAACCTTGCATACAAAGGAAAGTCAAATGAAACATATTGATTTCATGATTTGCCCATGAGAGATATTCATGCTTCGTAGAAACCACCATCGTCCATCATCTACAATCCATCTTCATCCATCATCATCCATCATCATCATCATCATCCTCATCAACATCATCTTCACCATCATCATCATCATTCATCATCATCTTCCATGATTCAAAATCATCATTCTCATCACCATCCTCATCATCATCATCATCATCATCGGCCAGATCCATCAATACACCATCCAAATGTGTATGAAGAAAGAGTTCCAAACCAAACACGAAAATGCAGATCAAGCGAATAAAACAATGCATTCATAGCAGCAATTCAACAGACACCACCAACACATTCTGAGCAAGTTCTGGTAAATGAAATCTGCATTAAATCAAAGCAAAGCGAGGAATGCCGACAAAGACGTGGTACAGATGGCCAAGCTGACCAGTCATGAAGTGCCATCACTGCCTGCGATCACACAGTCAACAAACAATTACACGAACGTCAAAACCAACCATCCATATCTGTTGAAGCGTTGAGATAGTGAGACACTCTATCTTTTTGTCTGTGAATTGCATGGTTGGCACCACTCCGTGTCCTTGCCGTCCTGTTCTCTCTGTCCGAAAAAAAGCTTACACCTAGTATTCTTTTTATTGCTGGCCGCTCGGACATTTCCGGCTGCAGCAAATTAAACAAATACTACATTGCAACATGCGTTGACTTGTTGAGAACAGAACGGCATACAACATCGCACTGATGCATTTACAATAAAACTACTGAACTTTTTTCGTGAGAACACGTCCCACAACATTCTGCAGCTGCGTGCTGCAGCTTTTTGTTGCATGCAATAAAGGAAAAAAACACACATAGAATGCATCACCCCGCGCTCGAGACGATACAACTTTCCCGACACATATACATTCAGTGAATTACCTATCACTATCCTTGCACGCAACTCTACATACAAAACAAACATGCTGACTGCGGCAGTGCTCGTTATTTGTCACACGTCACTTCCAGAGATGCCTTTTTCCTTGCATGTGCACAACTGCAACAGCTGAGAAACACGTCACTCTGCATGTTTTAAAAACAGCGGACACTACTGCAGATCACACGTTCATCCTACTATTGGAACCTGCGATGCTCATCAAATCCTCAGTGGAGAGTTGTCGAGCAATAGCTTCCTTTTGATGCCATTGCAATTTGCCCACGTAGGACAATGCTTTCATCTCGTCGAGGTTGGCCTGCTGCTCGAACTCTTTCATCCTTTGCACCAAAAGAGGATTGTGATCATGGAGAAAATGTTGAAACATGTGACGCGGTGGTAAATCAATGATCCACAAATCGTCGAGCTTTCGTGGTCTCGACAGCATGACATAGATCGCCAACGCATAGTCGGCATCCTTCATCCACGCAGGTTTGGTCAGGAAGGCCACCAACCCGTTTCTCGCGGTAATGCCCTGCAAGCCATAATGTGTTAAAACACAACGTGGCGCCAGTGGAATTTGCTTGCGAATCACCGGCACCGACTGCTTCGGTCCGACTTGCAAGCTCCAGGCTTTGTCCGACGCAACTGCTCGCAGCAAGACATGGCCCTTGGGGGCAACGTCACCAGACACCTGAATATTCTTGTAATTGGGATCGTCTATCTCCACCAACACAGCAACGGGCTGGTATCTCAATACAACACAGCCACAGTTGTCGGCGATTGCGGGCTCGCTTGGGTGCAACTTGATGGATCGAACAATAACCGGCAACTCTCGGTTCAGCAGCGGAGCATCCAAAATACAACTGATGCGACAAGGCATACCTTCATACAGAGGACAAATACCAATCAGATAATGAGTTTTGGTCATGTTCACGATCTGTAGTGCTGCCATGCTCTGTTCCCGGGTGAGCTCATTTGGGCCCGTAGCTCGATCAATGGCCTGAACGAAATACACAGTTTTCTTCAATTCTTTGCCTTCCAAGCCGACGCGAAGATGTTGAAGACGAGCTACTTGTTCCCAAGCAAGACCTCCCCAGTGAGCATCGAGCAAACGCTGCCGCAACTCATCCGCCTGCAACTCCTTCTTGCCATAGGCCCTGGCCTCAAGGGCCGCCCACAGATCGTCCGACATCTCCTTGCCTTCCCGCATGGACTTTAGGATCGCCACCAGCTGCTGCCCAGATGGACAGTCCGAAAATCTCCCAGATCCAGTGAAGTGAACAACCCGCTGCAAAGAGTTTTTGAACATCAGGCGGCCCAACTCAGCAGCATTGCTAGTGTGCTGTGCAGCTTCATTCTCTGGCAACTCCTCTTCCTCACTTGAAGCGCCATCTCCACGCGCATCGGTGGCGCGCGGAGCATCATGCCACTCGCACAGCGAGCGCTGTGCTGTCGGCCGGAGTTGCAGAAAGTCGCCAAGCTGGACACCAATTGGAGCTTTACCATACCACTGCTCGAGATAGCGACCCATATCCAACATCATGCGCTCCAAGACTTTGGAGTAGGCCTATGTCTTGCCAGAGCCACCAGCGCCCAACCAAAGGCAATTGCAGCTTTCAGTGGCTGCGCCATCTGCCAAAGTTGACTGTGGATTGGAGCGATTCAACCACATCTGCTCCATGACCCAAGCAATCGGAGCCACTGCCAAAATCTGTTGTCGATTGAGGGTGGAATTGACGACAAGCTCCGCAGCATAGTCTCCTGGTCCAATGCATTGAGCGTTGAGTGCAGCCAAAAATGGATCGATGGCTTCTTCCAAAGGTTCAAAATGCTGGTCTGGCATCTGCTCATCTTCCTCCTCCAAACCTTCATTGCAACAATTTACAAACCAAACAAACCACAAGAAAAAAAGCAAATCACTCGAATGCACAAAGCACGCTCCACCAACAAAGATACAGCCCCCGGCCTCCAGCACAAAACTCCAAGTACTGCTTCTGCAAAGCCATGCCTCTCTCAGCATCTGCCGCAGTCCAGCTGCGCTCGACACCAGCCACACTGCTGCTTCGAATGCCCATGCCTCTCCTCACATCTGGAATTCCTCCAAGTGCATTGACAAAGTCACGAAGATGTCGCAAGGTGTCTTTCAAAACAGTTGCGCGTGGATTGCTCAAAACACGCATCCAATCCTGCTCTCGAAACATGGCTTCATGTAAAGCCTCATGATCCACAATGTACTGCGCCCGTTCAAGCCGCTCCAACTCATCTTGACGCCGCAGGTCATCTTCAACTTCATCTCCTTCGATGTCAGGTGGCGCACAATCATCCTCAATGTCGTCGTCTTCCAGCTTTGTCATCAGAGCGAACCGCTCTGCCCGTCGACGACTGCTGCTGAGCCTGCGTGCAGCGTGATGTTGTTCAAAGCGCTCCATCCAGGCTGTCTGGATGATAGAAAGATATTCCAACGGCGACAACTGAGTGTAGTGATATGGAGGCCTGACATCAAGATACCAAGCAATGCGCTCCAAAATCCGAGGAACGTCATGAAATCGGCAGTCCCGGGGCCGCAGTTTGCGATGCAGGACACGCATCAAAGTTGCCACAGTCTCCCCATCACCGCTTGCTGAAGAACGCGGGAAACATTTGCGGACAGTGCTGACATCTCGAATCACAGGCGAAGACAATCCTGCCAACACGCGCTCCTGTGCAGTCTCTCTACGAACCAGCATGCACGCTTTCCAATGTCGCCACTGCGGCACAAATCTAGCAAAAATCATCCCTTCCTTCTCATTCTTCTCCAAAATGTGACACGCAAAGCATTTGTAGGAATCGCTGCAATCACCAGTGCACGTTGGAAAGGGGAAACACAGCCCGAGCATGTGCAGCATATTTTTGAGGCTCCGCTTCCTGTGGCAAATGTAAATCAGACGGCACAACCACATTGTCATCAGCAGCTCTGACTTCCTGAAGGAATCAAAACTTCCACACGCATGAAAAACAACAATTGCTTCACAACACTTACTTAACATCATGCACAGAAGATTCACAAGTTCTGTTTTCGCCCAATGTCCTGCACCGACTCTTTATGATGTGGATAATGCTCGTCGAATGCAAAAATCTTCACTCCATCAACTTTACCAGCCTTTGCGCGTGGAACACGACGCACAAACCTCGAGTACATTGCCAGTGACATGCATTTCAGCAATGTAGAAGAGCCACGATGCAGATAATCATCTTTCTGATTGAAGTGCACTGGAACTTGCGTCACTCGGGTCCCCTCGCCCTCATCTTCAATCACTTCTGCAATCTCATCCCCAGCGACTGGCACGTCCTCCACATCTTCGACAACATCAACTGGACCTGCAGTGAGATGAGGTGCGTCGGCCAGTGCCGCTGCAATTGCATCTGCCCTGCACCGCATGATTGCAAATGGCAGATACCGAAAAAACATGTTGTAGCCACGATATGTGACGTACTGTTCTTGTTCAAAGAGCAGCTGATACGCCATCTCCCCGTTCGACTTGGCGATGCAGCGATTCATTCCGAAGGCCAGACGACGCAAGATACTCAGCGCACGACTTTGTGGCCCACTCATGCCAGGCGTCTTCTTTGCATCCACGTTCTCCATGCTGGCATCTTCCACGGCGGCCTGCTGTCGCTTTGCTTCTTCCTCTTCCAATCTCTGTACTCCTGCCATGTGTTCAACACAACCAGCAAACATTGAAAAACAACTACAAGCAAACAGCCAGAAAAAGAAGAAGAAGGAAGAAGCACAAGCAGAAGAAGAAGAAGAATTGAAAAACAACTACAAGCAAACAGCCAGAAAAAGAAGAAGAAGGAAGAAGCACAAGCAGAAGAAGAAGAATAACAAGAAGAAGAAGATGAAGAAGAAGAAGAAGAGGAAGAAGATCATCAGCAACAACAACAAGAACGACAACAACCACAACAACAACAGGAAGATTAAAAGGAACAGCAACAACAACAACAACACCAACATCAACAAGAAGGACAACAACAACAACAACAACAACAACAACAACAACAACATGTGTAACACCACCACCAACAACAACAACAACAGCAACAGAATAGCACCTACCACAACACCAATAACAATGACAAAACAAAATAGACATGTAACAACACAAATCCTGCCTGCATACAGCTCCGGCAACATGCTCCGAGAAATCTCAAATTTTTTGGCAGCATATTCACCAGTGTAAAAGCCGACATCTTGCATATCCCGTGACATATCGATAAGCACCCGTTCCAAAGCCATTTTCATAGTCTGCATCCTCCTGGACTCTGGAACACTTTGACTTAACACAGTTGTCTTCTTTCTTTTGAATCCTGAGTCTTGCGAGGCAAGCCCACCCGTGTCCTGTTGCGCCACATCCATGTCGCACAGATCGCGCTCGGACAGTTCCGGATGCGACGATCCGGCTACAGGCTGTGGCACAACAGGACGCAAGTGACCTTGTTCGCGCACCATAGTTGTCTTCTTTCTCTTGCATCCTGAGTCTTGCGAGGCAGGCCCACCCGTGTCCTGTTGCGCCACATCCATGTCGCACAGATCGCGCTCGGACAGTTCCGGTTGCGACGACCCGGCTACAGGCTGTGGCACAACAGGACGCAAGTGACCCTGTGCATGCACCCCATCAGTGTGTGACTCATCAAAGTCCGATGACATGCTCCCATCGCAAAACTTGTTCAAATCTTTTTCAGCAAATGCACGACCAATGTACTTCACATCAACGTTGCAACGCATGACAACTTGAGCCACTGGATTCGACATGCCTTCAAAAGGATGATCCCGCTGAGCCTGAAAAACATGCGGGTTCTCATTCTTGAATTCCTCTTGTCGTGCCAAGTCTTCAGTTTCATACTGTAGCCTTGAAAAACACGCCTTCTGCACGCGTGGCCATCCTTTTTTACAAATTGTTTTCTGCTTGCCTTCAGCGTCCTTGATCAATTCAATGTGAAAACAACCAAAGCGACATCCACGCTTGCCTTTCACAGCTTTCCTCCGTGGCAAAGATCTGACACAGAATACGAACATTTTAAGCTGAACAAAGTAAGCAAACTAATAGCAAAACACCGAAGCAAAAAACATACATAACAAGTTTGCAAACCCGTTTCCCCGTGAAATCATCACCAAGACTCTTCTTGAAACATGATTTCGTGCATTTGTGAAAATGATTTTGTATCACCAATCGTCTGGAATCTTCACAAAACTTTCGTTTCCAAACTTCTCCATCACCCAAAGCTTGCTCCTCCCGGCGCTGATAACTTGGCCTCAAAGACACATAACAGCCTGTCAATGTCCGGCCACCACTCTCCTCCAATTCATGTCCATCTGGCTCAGTTGGCAACAGTGCGGCACTCTGATACATTTACCAAAGTATTGTACCGATATCGTTGCGATCATCATTTCTATCCTGACCGACAATCAGAACGAAAGCTGTGCTTGTTTTGACACTAGTAGTTGAAGTTGCAAATTTTCTCTCTGAAAATGTCAGGATGTCACGATGCATTGCTGACCTCCTTTTTGACAACATTCAGTCTCTCAGCATTCCACCAAAACAACAAAAACATTCCATCTGTCATCCTCAATCCCCCGCCTCAGGAGCCAGATACTTCACCAACGATGCCCGAACTTTGGCGCCAGAAAGCGACTTTCCGCTGCCATCGACAAGCCCCAAGCCAGCCGCTGCGCTCAGGGACCGCAGCGCATGCTCTTCCATCTCACCAACAACCTTTCGAAGCCACTTCATGCCTTCCCGACGGCCATCCATACGAAGCTGCTCTAGTCTAGCTTTCAATGCATGCACATCATCATCCTGCCGCGAACAAAATCCTCTGTGCAGAGAGCTGTCAGAGCATCCCCCAAACACGACTATCCACACAACTGCTCCCACTGCATCTAAACTAACACCTTCTGTGATGCTACCCAAAGAAACTGTTAACAACTGAAACGAACTCTTCACCAAACCAAACATCTCCACCCCACAGACTCGCCTGCGCTGCAAAATGCTCCACGAGGGCATTGCGCAGCTCAGCCAGTGCCAACTTTGAACCATCTTGTCTACGTGCCGACACATCAGAAGCTGCTGCAACCTTCTGCAAGACACCCTGTGTCATGCTCGCAATCTTCTCTTGCAGCCACGTGCGTCCTTTGCTGCTGGCGTCCATACGAAGCTCTTCCACCTGTGCCGAAATACTGCCGCCCACTTCTCCACGCTCCTGCCGCCGCATAGGCTCTGAAATTGTGGTGCACGCGGGCTCTTGAAGTAACATAACTCATGAAAAGAACTTTGCCAACAGACACAAAACTCATCAATAACCAAGTATCTGCACAACAATCTATACGTATATCCCTATAACACTCCGTGCCAAGACCACAAGAAATGTTAGGTGCCAGATTCCTGTGCAGAGAACTGTCAAAGCATTCCCCAAACACCTTCTGTGATGCTACCCAAAGAAACTGTTAACAACTGAAACGAACTCTTCACCAAACCAAACATCTCCCCCCAACAGACTCGCCTGCGGTGCAAAATGCTCCACGAGGGCATTGCGCAGCTCAGCCAGTGCCACCATTGAACCATCTTGTCTACGTGTAGACACATCAGAAGCTGCTGCAACCTTCCGCAGGTCATCCCGCGTCATGCTCGCCATCTTCTCTTGCAGCCACGTGCGTCCTTTGCTGCTGGCGTCCATACGAAGCTCTTCCACCTCTGCCGAAATACTGCCGCCCACATCTCCACGCTCCTGCCACAGCATAGGCTCTGAAATTGTGGTGCACGCGGGCTCTTGAAGTAACATAACATAACTCATGAAAAGAACTTTGCCAACAGAGACAAAACTCATCAATAACCAAGTATCTGCACAACAATCTATACTTATATCCCTATAACACTCCGTGCCAAGACCACAAGAAATGTTAGGTGCCAGGTTCCTGTGCAGAGAACTGTCAGAGCATTGCCCCAAACACATTCTGTGATGCTACCCAAAGAAACTGTTAACAACTGAAACGAACTCCTCACCAAACCAAACATCTCCCCCCAACAGACTCGCCTGCGGGGCAAAATGCTCCACGAGGGCATTGCACAGCTCAGCCGGTGCCACCATTGAACCATCTTCTCCACGCGTAGAAAAACCAGAAGCTGCTGCAACCTTCCGCAGGACATCCCGCGTCATGCTCGCCATCTTCTCTTGCAGCCACGTGCGTCCTTTGCTGCTGGCGTCCATACGAAGCTCTTCCACCTGTGCCGAAATACTGCCGCCCACATCTCCATGCTCCTGCCACCGCATAGGCTCTGAAATTGTGGTGGACGCGGGCTCTTGAAGTAACATAACTCATGAAAAGAACTTTGCCAACAGACACAAAACTCATCAATAACCAAGTATCTGCACAACAATCTATACGTATATCCCTATAACACTCCTGCAGAGAACTGTCAGAGCATTGCCCCAAACACATTCTGTGATGCTACCCAAAGAAACTGTTAACAATTGAAACGAACTCTTCACCAAACCAAACATCTCCCCCCAACAGACTCGCCTGCGGTGCAAAATGCTCCACGAGGGCATTGCGCAGCTCAGCCAGTGCCACCATTGAACCATCTTGTCTACGTGTAGACACATCAGAAGCTGCTGCAACCTTCCGCAGGTCATCCCGCGTCATGCTCGCCATCTTCTCTTGCAGCCACGTGCGTCCTTTGCTGCTGGCGTCCATACGAAGCTCTTCCACCTCTGCCGAAATACTGCCGCCCACATCTCCACGCTCCTGCCACAGCATAGGCTCTGAAATTGTGGTGCACGCGGGCTCTTGAAGTAACATAACATAACTCATGAAAAGAACTTTGCCAACAGAGACAAAACTCATCAATAACCAAGTATCTGCACAACAATCTATACTTATATCCCTATAACACTCCGTGCCAAGACCACAAGAAATGTTAGGTGCCAGGTTCCTGTGCAGAGAACTGTCAGAGCATTGCCCCAAACACATTCTGTGATGCTACCCAAAGAAACTGTTAACAACTGAAACGAACTCCTCACCAAACCAAACATCTCCCCCCAACAGACTCGCCTGCGGGGCAAAATGCTCCACGAGGGCATTGCGCAGCTCAGCCGGTGCCACCATTGAACCATCTTCTCCACGCGTAGAAAAACCAGAAGCTGCTGCAACCTTCCGCAGGACATCCCGCGTCATGCTCGCCATCTTCTCTTGCAGCCACGTGCGTCCTTTGCTGCTGGCGTCCATACGAAGCTCTTCCACCTGTGCCGAAATACTGCCGCCCACATCTCCACGCTCCTGGCGCAGCATAGGCTCTGAAATTGTGATGCACGCGGGCTCTTGAAGTAACATCACATAACTCATGAAACTAACTTTGCCAACAGAGACAAAACTCATCAATAACCAAGTATCTGCACAACAATCTATACTTATATCCCTATAACACTCCGTGCCAAGACCACAAGAAACGTTAGGTGCCAGATTCCTCTGCAGAGAACTGTCAAACCACCCCCCAAACAGATTCTGTGATGCTACCCAAAGAAACTGTTAACAACTGAAACGAACTCTTCACCAAACCAAACATCTCCCCCCAACAGACTCGCCTGCGGTGCAAAATGCTCCACGAGAGCATTGCGCAGCTCAGCCACTCCCACCATTGAACCATCTTCTCCACGCGTAGAAACACCAGAAGCTGCTGCAACCTTCCGCAAGTCAACCTGTTTCATGCTCGCCATCTTCTCTTGCAGCCACGTGCGTCCTTTGCTGCTGGCGTCCATACGAAGCTCTTCCACCTCTGCCGAAATACTGCCGCCCACATCTCCACGCTCCTGCCACCCCATAGGCTCTGAAATTGTGGTGCACGCGGGCTCTTGAAGTAACATAACATAACTCATGAAACGAACTTTGCCAACAGACAAAAAAGTCATCAATAACCAAGTATCTGCACAACAATCTATACTTATATCCCTATAACACTCCATGCCAAGACCACAAGAAATGTTAGGTGCCAGATTCCTGTCCAGACAACTGTCAGAGCATCCCCAAAAAACACATTCTGTGATGCTACCCAAAGAAACTGTTAACAATTGAAACGAACTCTTCACCAAACCAAACATCTCCCCCCAACAGACTCGCCTGCGGTGCAAAATGCTCCACGAGGGCATTGCGCAGCTCAGCCAGTGCCACCATTGAACCATCTTGTCTACGTGTAGACACATCAGAAGCTGCTGCAACCTTCCGCAGGTCATCCCGCGTCATGCTCGCCATCTTCTCTTGCAGCCACGTGTGTCCTTTGCTGCTGGCGTCCATACGAAGCTCGTCCACCTCTGCCGAAATACCGCCGCCCACATCTCCACGCTCCTGGCGCAGCATAGGCTCTGAAATTGTGATGCACGCGGGCTCTTGAAGTAACATAACATAACTCATGAAACGAACTTTGCCAACAGAGACCAAACTCATCAATAACCAAGTATCTGCACAACAATCTATACTTATATCCCTATAACACTCCGTGCCAAGACCACAAGAAACAAAAACACCTATCCACACGACTGCTCCCACTAAATCCACACTAACACCTTCTGTGATGCAGCCCCTCCGCGGCGGCTGCTCATCATTCCCCGCCTCGGGCAATTCCGGGCGGCGAGACGAACTGGACGGCAATGGTCCACCAGTGGTGCTAGATTCCTGTGCAGATATGTCTTGGAAAAGCCTTTTCATCACTGCGTCCCTGACTCCACTTGACGGCAAGCCAATCTCTTGTGCAATGACACGAAGATCTTCAACCTTCAGCGCCTTGAGCTGCGTCCAAAGTCCCTTTGTGCCACCACTTTGCACGACACAGCGCAACCGTGTAACAGATTCTTGCACTTCGATCTTTGCACAAACCCGGCTTGCGAACTCTTCCTTCAAGCGACTCCCCTCCACGGACAGCTCCAGCTCAGAAGCTAAAGCCTTCAACGCATTAATCCCAAGTTTGCGCACCTGGCGCCGGAAGAGATCAACTCCTCCCTCTGTCAAGCCTTGTTGCAACTCTCGGAGCTTCTCGGACATTTCCGGTTGACGCGAACCCAGAGTAACAACGTATACAGGCAAAGCGCGATACGAATCTCGAACCAAAAGCTGCGCCGACCAGCTTCATGCTTTGACGAACAAACGGAACACAAGCTTGCAGTTGAAACTCGCAAAATCAAGCGGTTTTACCACAAGCTAGCTGCAAAACATCGAATGACTGCCACACACTGACATCCCCAGCTCAGAAGCTAAAGCCTTCAATGCATTGATCCCAAGTTTGCGCACCTGGCGCCGGAAGAGATCAACTCCTCCCTCTGTCAAGCCTTGTTGCAACTCTCGGAGCTTCTCGGACATTTCCGGTTGAAGCGAACCCAGAGTAACAACTTATAGAGGCCAAGCACGATACGAATCTCGGACCAAAAGCTGCGCCGACCTGCTTCATGCTTTGACGAACAAACGGAACACAAGCTTGCAGTTGAAACTCGCAAAAATCATGCGGTTTTACCATTTTACCAAAAGCTAGCTGCAAAACATCGAATGACTGCCACACACTGACATCCCCAGCTCAGAAACTAAAGCCTTCAATGCATTGATCCCAAGTTTGCGCACCTGGCGTCAAATCATTCGGTTTTACCAAAAGCTAGCTGCAAAACATCGAATGACTGCCACACACTGACATCCCCAGCTCAGAAACTAAAGCCTTCAATGCATTGATCCCAAGTTTGCGCACCTGGCGTCAAATCATTCGGTTTTACCAAAAGCTAGCTGCAAAACATCGAATGACTGCCACACACTGACATCCCCAGCTCAGAAACTAAAGCCTTCAATGCATTGATCCCAAGTTTGCGCACCTGGCGCAAAATCATGCGGTTTTACCAAAAGCTAGCTGCAAAACATCGAATGACTGCCACACACTGACATCCCCAGCTCAGAAGCTAAAGCCTTCAATGCATTGATCCCAAGTTCGCCACCTGGCGCAATATCATGCGGTTTTACCAAAAGCTAGCTGCAAACCATCGAATGACTGCCACACACTGACATCCCCAGCTCAGAAGCTAAAGCCTTCAATGCATTGATCCCAAGTTTGCCACCTGGCGCAATATCATGCGGTGCAAAACATCGAATGACTGCCACACACTGATATCCCCAGCTCAGAAGCTAAAGCCTTCAATGCATTGATCCCAAGTTTGCGCACCTGGCGCCGGAAGGGATCAACTCCTCCCTCTGTCAAGCCTTGTTGCAACTCTCGGACCTTCTCGGACATATCCGGTTGCAGCGAACCCAGAGTAACACCTTATAGACGCCAAGCGCGATACAAATCTCGAACCAATAGCTGCGCCGACCAGCTTCATGCTTTGACGAACAAACGGAACACAAGCTTGCAGTTGAAACTCGCAAAATCATGCGGTTTTACCAAAAGCTAGCTGCAAAACATCGAATGCCTGCCACACACTGATGACAACATGCAGCAGGCCTCCAAAATCTCCAAAGACGAGCACCACGGCCACCAAAAGAAGCTCTGGAAATGCTTACAGTCATGTTTGCTCGGACAGTTCAGGGGGGAGCAGGGTCTTCTCTTGTTAGTATGGAGACGCAATATTAGAAACGATATATGAAAGCTCTGTCATAGGCAGTCGAGAAGAGGAGTATCAAGACAGGATAGTGGGAAGCGCAAGACAATAGTTTGCATCGCAAACACTTTTACAAACAGACGCTTTTACACTGACGCTTTTACACACAAAGCTTTTACCCACAGAAGCTTTTACACACAGAAGCTTTTACATACAGAGGCTTTTACACACAGAAGCTTTTACATACAAACACTTTTACACACAGACGCTTTTACACACAAACGCTTTGACACACAGACGCTTTTACACACAGACCCTTTTACACACAGACACTTTTACACACAGACGCTTTTGACACACAGACGCTTTTTACACACAGACGCTTTGACACACAAACACATTTACACACAGACGCTTTTACACACAGACGCTTTTTACACACAAACGATTTTTACACACAGACGCTTTGACACACAAACACATTTACACACAGAGGCTTTTACACACAAACGCTTTTACACAAACACTTTTACACACAGACGCTTTGACACACAGACGCTTTGACACACAGACGCTTTGACACACAGACGCTTTTACACACAGCCACTTTTACACACAGAGACGCTTTTACACACAGCCACTTTTACACACAGAGACGCTTTTACACACAGACGCTTTTACACACAGACGCTTTTACACTTTGCCGATCGACCCTCATTTCGTGCGAAAGGGTTGCTCCAGGACAAGTCAAATCGCAATTTTACCTCAGTTTTTGCCGATCAACCCTCATTTCGTGCGAAAGGGTTGCTCCGGCACAAGTAAAATCGCACTTTTACCTCAGTTTTTGCCGATCGACCCTCATTTCGTGCGAAAGGGTTGCTCCAGGACAAGTAAAATCGCAATTTTACCTCAGTTTTTGCCGATCAACCCTCATTTCGTGCGAAAGGGTTGCTCCGGGACAAGTAAAATCGCAATTTTACCTCAGTTTTTGCCGATCGACCCTCATTTCGTGCGAAAGGGTTGCCGTAGCACAAGTAAAATCGCACTTTTACCTCAGTTTTTGCCGATCGACCCTCATTTCGTGCGAAAGGCTTGGGTTGCTCCGGGACAAGTAAAATCGCAATTTTACCTCAGTTTTTGCCGATCGACCCTCATTTCGTGCGAAAGGGTTGCTCCGGCACAAGTAAAATCGCACTTTTACCTCAGTTTTTGCCGATCGACCCTCATTTCGTGCGAAAGGGTTGCTCCGGCACAAGTAAAATCGCACTTTTACCTCAGTTTTTGCCGATCGACCCTCATTTCGTGCGAAAAGGTTGCTCCAGGACAAGTAAAATCGCAATTTTACCTCAGTTTTTGCCGATCAACCCTCATTTCGTGCGAAAGGGTTGCTGTTTCGTGACTCACCGCCGGCACCACCCTCGGCCTAAAGAGAGAAAGATAAAGAAGGCGAGAGAGAGAAAAAGGAGAGAGATGTGAGAGAAGATGTGAAGATGAGCAGATGTGAAGATGAGCAGATGTGAAGATGAGCAGATGTGAGAGAGGGTGTGAAGATGAGCAGATGTGAAGATGAGCAGATGTGAAGATGAGCAGATGTGAGAGAAGATGTGAAGAGGAGCAGATGTGAAGATGAGCAGATGTGAGAGAAGATGTGAAGATGAGCAGATGTGAGAGAAGATGTGAGAGAAGATGTGAGAGAATATGTAAGAGAAGATGTGAGAGAAGATGTGAAGATGAGCAGATGTGAGAGAAGATGTGAGAGAGATGTGAGAGAAGATGTGAAGATGAGCAGATGTGAAGATGAGAAGATGTGAGAGAAGGTGTGAAGATGAGAAGATGTGAGAGAAGGTGTGAAGATGAGCAGATGTGAAGATGAGCAGATGTGAAGATGAGCAGATGTGAGAGAAGATGTGAAGATGAGCAGATGTGAGAGAAGATGTGAGAGAAGATGTGAAGATGAGCAGATGTGAAGATGAGCAGATGTGAAGATGAGCAGATGTGAAGATGAGCAGATGGGAAGATGAGCAGATGTGAAGATGAGCAGATGTGAAGATGAGCAGATGTGAAGATGAGCAGATGTGAAGATGAACAGATGTGAAGATGAGAAGATGTGAAGATGAGAAGATAAGATACAGACCCCCACTATTGGAAGAACCCTGCGCTCAGACGCTCTCGGGAAAAAACGAAAGCCAGCGGCATGGTAAACGTCAGGAGGATTCATGGACAGTTCATCGAGCAATACGGCCATAACTTCCATGATCTTCTTCTCAATCGGACTGCCTTTACTCTTAGCCGACCGGAGGGAACGTCGGTCCAGGCCACTGTTCGGGCTCACGTTCGCCCACTTGTGCAATGTCTTTGCTTCTGGGCCCAAGAGACGAACAGCTGCATGTGTTGGCGCCCCAACAATGTAACCACCATCACCGAAATAACGACGGAACATTGGCCGCAAGACTTTGGAGTAGGCGTATGTCTTGCCAGAGCCACCAGCGCCCAACCAAAGGCAATTGCAGCTTTCAGTGGCTGCGCCATCTGCCAAAGTTGACTGTGGATTGGAGCGATTCAACCACATCTGCTCCATGACCCAAGCAATCGGAGCCACTGCCAAAATCTGTTGTCGATTGAGGGTGGAATTGACGACAAGCTCCGCAGCATAGTCTCCTGGTCCAATGCATTGAGCGTTGAGTGCAGCCAAAAATGGATCGATGGCTTCTTCCAAAGGTTCAAAATGCTGGTCTGGCATCTGCTCATCTTCCTCCTCCAAACCTTCATTGCAACAATTTACAAACCAAACAAACCACAAGAAAAAAAGCAAATCACTCGAATGCACAAAGCACGCTCCACCAACAAAGATACAGCCCCCGGCCTCCAGCACAAAACTCCAAGTACTGCTTCTGCAAAGCCATGCCTCTCTCAGCATCTGCCGCAGTCCAGCTGCGCTCGACACCAGCCACACTGCTGCTTCGAATGCCCATGCCTCTCCTCACATCTGGAATTCCTCCAAGTGCATTGACAAAGTCACGAAGATGTCGCAAGGTGTCTTTCAAAACAGTTGCGCGTGGATTGCTCAAAACACGCATCCAATCCTGCTCTCGAAACATGGCTTCATGTAAAGCCTCATGATCCACAATGTACTGCGCCCGTTCAAGCCGCTCCAACTCATCTTGACGCCGCAGGTCATCTTCAACTTCATCTCCTTCGATGTCAGGTGGCGCACAATCATCCTCAATGGCGTCGTCTTCCAGCTTTGTCATCAGAGCGAACCGCTCTGCCCGTCGACGACTGCTGCTGAGCCTGCGTGCAGCGTGATGTTGTTCAAAGCGCTCCATCCAGGCTGTCTGGATGATAGAAAGATATTCCAACGGCGACAACTGAGTGTAGTGATATGGAGGCCTGACATCAAGATACCAAGCAATGCGCTCCAAAATCCGAGGAACGTCATGAAATCGGCAGTCCCGGGGCCGCAGTTTGCGATGCAGGACACGCATCAAAGTTGCCACAGTCTCCCCATCACCGCTTGCTGAAGAACGCGGGAAACATTTGCGGACAGTGCTGACATCTCGAATCACAGGCGAAGACAATCCTGCCAACACGCGCTCCTGTGCAGTCTCTCTACGAACCAGCATGCACGCTTTCCAATGCGGCACAAATCTAGCAAAAATCATCCCTTCCTTCTCATTCTTCTCCAAAATGTGACACGCAAAGCATTTGTAGGAATCGCTGCAATCACCAGTGCACGTTGGAAAGGGGAAACACAGCCCGAGCATGTGCAGCATATTTTTGAGGCTCCGCTTCCTGTGGCAAATGTAAATCAGACGGCACAACCACATTGTCATCAGCAGCTCTGACTTCCTGAAGGAATCAAAACTTCCACACGCATGAAAAACAACAATTGCTTCACAACACTTACTTAACATCATGCACAGAAGATTCACAAGTTCTGTTTTCGCCCAATGTCCTGCACCGACTCTTTATGATGTGGATAATGCTCGTCGAATGCAAAAATCTTCACTCCATCAACTTTACCAGCCTTTGCGCGTGGAACACGACGCACAAACCTCGAGTACATTGCCAGTGACATGCATTTCAGCAATGTAGAAGAGCCACGATGCAGATAATCATCTTTCTGATTGAAGTGCACTGGAACTTGCGTCACTCGGGTCCCCTCGCCCTCATCTTCAATCACTTCTGCAATCTCATCCCCAGCGACTGGCACGTCCTCCACATCTTCGACAACATCAACTGGACCTGCAGTGAGATGAGGTGCGTCGGCCAGTGCCGCTGCAATTGCATCTGCCCTGCACCGCATGATTGCAAATGGCAGATACCGAAAAAACATGTTGTAGCCACGATATGTGACGTACTGTTCTTGTTCAAAGAGCAGCTGATACGCCATCTCCCCGTTCGACTTGGCGATGCAGCGATTCATTCCGAAGGCCAGACGACGCAAGATACTCAGCGCACGACTTTGTGGCCCACTCATGCCAGGCGTCTTCTTTGCATCCACGTTCTCCATGCTGGCATCTTCCACGGCGGCCTGCTGTCGCTTTGCTTCTTCCTCTTCCAATCTCTGTACTCCTGCCATGTGTTCAACACAACCAGCAAACATTGAAAAACAACTACAAGCAAACAGCCAGAAAAAGAAGAAGAAGGAAGAAGCACAAGCAGAAGAAGAAGAAGAAGAATAATTGAAAAACAACTACAAGCAAACAGCCAGAAAAAGAAGAAGAAGGAAGAAGCACAAGCAGAAGAAGAAGAAGAATAACAAGAAGAAGAAGAAGATGAAGAAGAAGAAGAAGAGGAAGAAGATCATCAGCAACAACAACAAGAACGACAACAACCACAACAACAACAGGAAGATTAAAAGGAACAGCAACAACAACAACACCAACATCAACAAGAAGGACAACAACAACAACAACAACAACACCAACATCAACAAGAAGGACAACAACAACAACAACAACAACAACAACAACATGTGTAACACCACCACCAACAACAACAGCAGCAACAACAGCAACAGCAACAGAATAGCACCTACCACAACACCAATAACAATGACAAAACAAAATAGAAATGTAACAACACAAATCCTGCCTGCATACAGCTCCGGCAACATGCTCCGAGAAATCTCAAATTTTTTGGCAGCATATTCACCAGTGTAAAAGCCGACATCTTGCATATCCCGTGACATATCGACAAGCACCCGTTCCAAAGCCATTTTCATAGTCTGCATCCTCCTGGACTCTGGAACACTTTGACTTAACACAGTTGTCTTCTTTCTTTTGAATCCTGAGTCTTGCGAGGCAAGCCCACCCGTGTCCTGTTGCGCCACATCCATGTCGCACAGATCGCGCTCGGACAGTTCCGGATGCGACGATCCGGCTACAGGTTGTGGCACAACAGGACGCAAGTGACCTTGTTCGCGCACCACAGTTGTCTTCTTTCTCTTGCATCCTGAGTCTTGCGAGGCAGGCCCACCCGTGTCCTGTTGCGCCACATCCATGTCGCACAGATCGCGCTCGGACAGTTCCGGTTGCGACGACCCGGCTACAGGCTGTGGCACAACAGGACGCAAGTGACCCTGTGCATGCACCCCATCAGTGTGTGACTCATCAAAGTCCGATGACATGCTCCCATCGCAAAACTTGTTCAAATCTTCTTCAGCAAATGCACGACCAATGTACTTCACATCAACGTTGCAACGCATGACAACTTGAGCCACTGGATTCGACATGCCTTCAAAAGGATGAGCCCGCTGAGCCTGAAAAACATGCGGGTTCTCATTCTTGAATTCCTCTTGTCGTGCCAAGTCTTCAGTTTCATACTGTAGCCTTGAAAAACACGCCTTCTGCACGCGTGGCCATCCTTTTTTACAAATTGTTTTCTGCTTGCCTTCAGCGTCCTTGATCAATTCAATGTGAAAACAACCAAAGCGACATCCACGCTTGCCTTTCACAGCTTTCCTCCGTGGCAAAGATCTGACACAGAATACGAACATTTTAAGCTGAACAAAGTAAGCAAACTAATAGCAAAACACCGAAGCAAAAAACATACATAACAAGTTTGCAAACCCGTTTCCCCGTGAAATCATCACCAAGACTCTTCTTGAAACATGATTTCGTGCATTTGTGAAAATGATTTTGTATCACCAATCGTCCGTAATCTTCACAAAACTTTCGTTTCCAAACTTCTCCATCACCCAAAGCTTGCTCCTCCCGGCGCTGATAACTTGGCCTCAAAGACACATAACAGCCTGTCAATGTCCGGCCACCACTCTCCTCCAATTCATGTCCATCTGGCTCAGTTGGCAACAGTGCGGCACTCTGATACATTTACCAAAGTATTGTACCGATATCGTTGCGATCATCATTTCTATCCTGACCGACAATCAGAACGAAAGCTGTGCTTGTTTTGACACTAGTAGTTGAAGTTGCAAATTTTCTCTCTGAAAATGTCAGGATGTCACGATGCATTGCTGACCTCCTTTTTGACAACATTCAGTCTCTCAGCATTCCACCAAAACAACAAAAACATTCCATCTGTCATCCTCAATCCCCCGCCTCAGGAGCCAGATACTTCACCAACGATGCCCGAACTTTGGCGCCAGAAAGCGACTTTCCGCTGCCATCGACAAGCCCCAAGCCAGCCGCTGCGCTCAGGGACCGCAGCGCATGCTCTTCCATCTCACCAACAACCTTTCGAAGCCACTTCACGCCTTCCCGACGGCCATCCATACGAAGCTGCTCTAGTCTAGCTTTCAATGCATGCACATCATCATCCTGCCGCGAACAAAATCCTCTGTGCAGAGAGCTGTCAGAGCACCCCCCAAACACGACTATCCACACAACTGCTCCCACTGCATCTAAACTAACACCTTCTGTGATGCTACCCAAAGAAACTGTTAACAACTGAAACGAACTCTTCACCAAACCAAACATCTCCACCCCACAGACTCGCCTGCGCTGCAAAATGCTCCACGAGGGCATTGCGCAGCTCAGCCAGTGCCAACTTTGAACCATCTTGTCTACGTGCCGACACATCAGAAGCTGCTGCAACCTTCTGCAAGACACCCTGTGTCATGCTCGCAATCTTCTCTTGCAGCCACGTGCGTCCTTTGCTGCTGGCGTCCATACGAAGCTCTTCCACCTGTGCCGAAATACTGCCGCCCACATCTCCATGCTCCTGCCACCGCATAGGCTCTGAAATTGTGGTGGACGCGGGCTCTTGAAGTAACATAACTCATGAAAAGATCTTTGCCAACAGACACAAAACTCATCAATAACCAAGTATCTGCACAACAATCTATACTTATATCCCTATAACACTCCGTGCCAAGACCACAAGAAATGTTAGGTGCCAGATTCCTGTGCAGAGAACTGTCAAAGCATTCCCCAAACACCTTCTGTGATGCTACCCAAAGAAACTGTTAACAACTGAAACGAACTCTTCACCAAACCAAACATCTGCCCCCAACAGACTCGCCTGCGGTGCAAAATGCTCCACGAGGGCATTGCGCAGCTCAGCCGGTGCCACCATTGAACCATCTTCTCCACGCGTAGAAAAACCAGAAGCTGCTGCAACCTTCCCACTCATGATCGCCATATCGTCTGGGCCAGCGGCGGCTCAGCGGATCAGCGGATCAGCGGACCAGCGGACCAGCGGATCAGCGGATCAGCGGATCAGCGGACCAGCGGACCAGCGGATCAGCGGATCAGCGGATCAGCGGACCAGCGGACCAGCGGACCAGCAGATCAGCGGATCAGCGGATCAGCGGATCAGCGGATCAGCGGATCAGCGGACCAGCGGATCAGCGGATCAGCGGATCAGCGGATCAGCGGACCAGCGGACCAGCGGACCAGCGGATCAGCGGATCAGCGGATCAGCGGATCAGCGGATCAGCGCACCAGCGGATCAGCGGATCAAAGCAAAGTTCTAGAACGTACTTTTCAACCTGTCTATATCTACAAAGGCAATCTTGCTCAGTGACCTTTGCCTGCCAGGAAAAGGTCTCTCCTGCAAGCACCTTCTGTACAAGTAGCATGCCTTCCGCTTTCACAAGGCCGCTGCCCCTGCTCCGGGTTTTGTGGTGTCAGTGGTGGTTTTGCAGCTTGATTTCTGACACTTGCACCACGTGACATGACCAGCGATCACGGACGTACTTTTCAACATGTATATATCGGCAATCTTGCTCAGTGACCTTTGCCTGCCATGAAAAGGTGTCTCCTGCAAGCACCTTCTGTACACGTAGAATGCCTTCCGCTTTGACAAGGCCGCCGCCCCTGCTCCGGGTTTTGTGGTGTCAGTGGTGGTTTTGCAGCTTGATTTCTGACACTTGCACCACGTGACATGACCAGTGATCACGGAAAGAGTTCGCAGCTTGTGCCCCTGCTGTGCCTTTATTTTCAAACAGGAGAGAGAACCATGACCATGCGCAAACGTATCACACTAAGACAGTCCATACATTTCGCCGCAAGGCTGAGAAGAGCAACCAGAAACAAACCACGCAACTGCAGAGCCCAAGACCTTCCCTCCCGCCTGCGACTCTTCCTTTTCATGGCGCACGGGTTTAGCCAAGCTCTGATTGCTGAAGCCATACGAAATGCAGACCCGGCTGCGCAGATTTCAGATGGTTTGGTTGTGCATCTGGCAGCTGAGCTGCAACCTCTCTTCTCGACCAGAGTTGCTGCCTACGGTAGAGAAACTTGTGCCCAAGAGTTGCTCCCCTTGCCTCGGAGCTGTTCTGCGTGCAAAACCCGGCTAGCTGAATGCAGAGGTTCTGCCACGCCTGCGGCAGTGATAGACCTTTGTGGAGTCGTTGAAAAGCTGCATGTTCCACTGCGGTGTAGAAAGCCTTCATGCCCGGAGTTTGGGGTGCTTCCTTGGTACAACTACTGCGTACGCAAAGGCAAGCATGTGTTCCAGGGAGAGCTGCCACTCTTGCAATGTTTCATGCTATCCTCGAGCTTTGGTTTTAGTATCCCTTGGCTGCGCCAGTTCCACCTGCGTTTGGTGCGTCAGCACGCATCATTCACGAGTGAAGCCGACGTACTGACGGCGCAAGCTGCCACCAATTCGCAGCTGCATCGTCTCCCCACTTCACGCTTGCGGCTGCTGATCAGCCAGGGATGGTTCACCTGGCGCTTGCTGACGCGTGGGCTTGAAGCCGGCTTGGATTTGTCTGTGGTAGATTTTCAATCTCCCATGGAGGACACGGCGTGCAGGTTCTTGGGTCCATTGCAAGCAGCATTCAGCCGGAAGGCCGTGGAAGGTGCTCAGCGTGCCAAAATGCGGTGCGATGTTATTGTTTTAGATGGCAATGCAAAGAACCGGAGGGCAGTCTGCGCCGCTGCGCTGGCGGGATGTTCTTACTCTCCAACCCTCCGCAGAACTTTGCGCCACACCTGCACAAAAACGCCTGCTTTCAAGCATTGCTTTTGCTTGCACCATTGTGAAGCTCCTGGCGCAGATCGTTCTCACACAGTGTCTTGGCTCGAATCCTCAAACATTTTCAGTTTTGTTTGCCTTCTCCTTCCGTGGGCTACTTTTTTGAATTAAAACCCCAGGGCTTCAGCGTCGGTGCTTGGGTCTGTGCTCGCGTTTGCAGGATGTTGAGATTCTACAACACAAGTCTATCAATGATGGGCAGCAACTGATGGTTTTGCTCCAGGAAACGACCGAACCTCGCAGGGAGGCTTGGGTCTTGGATTCCGCCGTGCCAGACACTGTCTTGAGCAAGTACTTGCGGCAAGTTGGGGCGGAGAAGCTGAAACTTCGCAAGCGTACTCATGAACCCCAACCTTCAGACACTGCAGGGCCTTCTCCCGCACCGCCGCTGTTGCAGGCGCAGGTTGAACCCGTGGCAGAGCTTGAGCAATGTTCAGATCCAGCGGATTTAGCGTCTGTTGCATGTTCAACGCACAAGGAAAGCAGTACTGCCCAGAGGCAACTTGCCAAGTCAGCGGGCATGCTTTGCGTATGCTTGTCCGAGGGCCTTATTTTGCACATGCAAGAGATTTATGGCTGCGAGTCTCTGAGCCAGCGCTACTTCTGCGTCGCTGCTGTCAAAGCTTTGCTGCCGACCCTGACGACAGTGGTGCACGATGATGCGTGCCACTTGCACAAGTATTGCGCGCGTCGAGCAGCGCACTCTCAAGCTGCGGCGCAGTTGTCGCCACCTCACATGACCTTTGTCTGCGACAAGTTCCACATGGCAGGCCACACGGATGCTTGGTGCAAGCAAACATGTGACCCGGAGCTCCCGTCCAACTCCGCTCTTCTCGCTGGTGTCAGGACTTCAGTTTGCGAGTTCACCTTCACATGGCTCAGCAAATACAAGCACCAAACCAAGCACATGAACGAATACGGTTTTCAGTTCTTCTTGCTCGACATGGCGTGGAGCCACAATGAAATCATTTTGCAGGGAGGCTACAGGCCGGAGGAGGTAGCTGGCTCTTTGGATGCTGAGGATGTTGCGTAGCAAGCCAAAAATGTTCGGACGCTTAGGGTTTGAAGTTTGGGAGCGCCATAGGTACGTAGCTCTTTTTTCGAACGGGCTGTGGTGCTTGTAACATGTGACCATCTTTTGCTAGATCAGGTTGATTTTAGAATTGTGGTGCGGCTTTAGGTAGCCCGGTTCAAATTTGGTAGTTCGCAGCTTCTCGTGCGGAGCCATGTCCGGGGCTCCTGACGATGGGCAGTACGTGCCCGCCATGAAGCTGATGTGGGATGAGGTGGACAGACGTTTTGACCCCAAGTATGTCCTTGGAGAAGCCGGCCACCAGTTTTGCCAAAGCTATTCTGTCAGAGCTGCGCATCCTGAATTTCCTTACGCTTTGCATTGTCTTTCTTTGATGTGTGCTTTGGCGAATGGCGCGCGGGTCGCCATCTTTGCCACAGCACCGTCGCCTCTGACTTTGGTAGCGGTTAATGTCAACTATGCCCAGACCAGAAAGTCTTCCATGACTGGACACGCAGAGGCTTTGGGGCAAGAGTTGGACACAGTCATCTTGGAGAATGCGATGTCCAAGCTGCAGCAGGAAAGCTTTGAGGAGGGAGCGGCTCAAGTCCTGAGGCGGGGCTTTTCAAAGTCCAATTGCCCCCCGCTGACCATGCGTGAACAGTTTGCTAACCTTGTGTTAAATTTTCACGTGTTTCTAAATCTTTGCCAGGAACCAAAAGACACAAGTGACCCCGCTGCTGCAGGTATTTGAAGCCAAGAATCGCTTCTGCGACTGTTGCCAGCGCCACACCGGAAGAATGGTTTCACCGTTGCTCTGCTGACTGGAACCAAGTCCGCAACGCAGACAAGCTGCCAGGAGATTGGTCTGGGCGTTGCTGGTACGGCTTGCTAGGCAACTTTGATGAAGCCTACGACTTCTTGCTGAGCCTTGGCCTGTTGTCCGACTCAAATGCAACAACGAGAGAGAAATCAAAAAGCAAAGTCAACCCGTACCAGAGCGCGTTCAACAAGCTCTTGCAATTTGGGTCTAGTGCTCGTGCCACCAAGACGGCAGGGAGCTACGGTGAGAACCCTGGTAAAACCATAAGCTTGGGCATCACTTGCAACATGCACCCGGCCTTCTACATCCCAATGGAGCGGGGCGAGCTTGGAAGCCACGCAGCCTCCACCAAGGAAAGGTTCCTCATCTCCACTGGCCGCCCTGTTCAACCACATGAGGACATCCCCGCAGACTTTTGCTTGCCGGAAGGACGGGGTCGATTCTTGCACTGTTACATGCTGGATATAGCGCTCACTTCTCGGTATTAAGGCATGTAAAGCACAAACACTGTCATGAATTCAAGTTCTGAGCCTGTCAGTCTTTGTGGATTTTCTGAGTTGAGACGCGTGCAGGAGTCTCGCCATACAGGTGGGTCCCCCTCACTCCTGAGATTGCAGACCTCATTGGGGTTGCTAAAGAAGCAACATCGCCAGACGCAGCTGCCCAAGAATGGGCAGAAGCTGGGCTTGAAGACGAAGCCGCGGCCCAACTCACCCAGAATGCTGCCGGTGAGTATGTGCCGTCGGAAGACGGCTACCTTGTCAGGCTCTTAGATGACAAGCTGACCCGCATCCGCTTCAGGCGATCAGAGGCAGCCCCAAACGGCTTTGAAGCAGAGTGGAGGGTAGCGAACCGAAACTTTGCAATCCCGGAGGTGTGCCGTTTGAGAAATTGCGTTGCTAGGGTGGCCACCTATTTCGCAGCGCCACACCAAGTTATCACTTTCACTTCGGAGGCTGAGTCATGGCATCTGTCTTACCAGGGAGCAATGAATGTCCAAAGCCACGTGGTTCGTGATACTGGAGACATCCAAGCTGGGGCTCGCTTCGGGGCGGCGCCTTGGCAAGTAGGGGTTTTAGCTGCTTTGCTCCTGGTCTTCGAAATCTTTGTCGGCGCCCACTCCCCTGCAGCGCTGGAGGGGCGAGCTTTGCAGGTTACACCCGGGCACTTGCAGCGGGCGTACGCCTTGCTTCAATTGGCTCCTTGGCCGCGTTATTTTGAGTGTTCTGAACGTCACCTTGTTCCCCATGTTCCATCCAGCCTGACGTATTGTCGCAGACCAGGTGCAGCGTCTGAAGCACATTGCCCTTGGAGATGCAGCAG